GTGTTCAGCTGTTAACTAAAAGTTCGGTGGTTCAAATCCACTAGGCACTCTGCAGAAGAAAGATGCAGCAGTCTGCTTCCCTAAAGATTACAGCCTTAGAAACTCTATGGGCAGTTCTACTCTGTCCTAAAGGGTTGCTATGAGTCAGAATGGACTCAATGGCAACTGGTTTGGTTTTGGTTTATGATGTGGTCTAAGCAAGTGAGTCAGACAATATTCAGTTGTGATCCATAGGGTTTACTTTGGCTGATTTTCATAAGATTTCCAGGCCTTTCTTCCTAGTCTGTCTTAGACTGGAAGTGCCTCTGAAATATGTCCCCCTGGGGTGACCCTGGTACTATTTGAAATGTGGTTGGCATAACTTCCAGCATCATAACAACATACTAGTACAACAGTATGACAAACCACCAGATGGGAGGTTGTATTCTTTGCTACAGGGGGAAAAATATAGCCTAGAAGCTCTTGACTGGAAGGAATTGGTCACAGGGAGGTGGTCAGCAGGACTGGTGACTATAGTGACACCCTAGTACTCTCCTTCCTGAGACCTTGTCAGAGTGGGGTGAGGTCATTTTATGTCAAAATCATCAGATGTTGGAAACCATCTGTCTTCAGGGCAATATTCAACTCCAAGAATGGAGATGTGAAGGGAAAGCACCATCATTACCAGAGAATCATAAAGAAACTCAGCTCAGCTCAGCTGGTCAGGCGGATCCTGACAGCACAAGCTCCTGTTCAGCACAAACTCCTGGCCATTGCTCATGTTCCAACTCACCAGCCCCTGGCAGCAGTCCAAACACCCTTTCTGGTGTTGTGTTCAACTTGGTAAGAATCCTTTCAGATTTTCTTCTTTAATTCTGAGCGACCAGTCCAAGATGCACCTTGTATCAGAGGCTTGTCTGGAGCCAGAATTAAAGTCTGTTAGTATCCAGTTCAGGGCGTTCTGCACTGACTGTTCTGGCAAGATGCAGAAGGACAACTATGAAACATGGAAGAGCACCGTCTACCCACAATTATTTGATTTTATTATTTGAAACATCCTTTCAATGTAGATACCAATTACTGATTCCTTCATCCAGAGCAAATTTGCTTGCCTGTGTGAGCAGGGCCAGTACTTGGCTCTGAGTTGCTTTATGATGCTCTTACATTTCTTCCCTGCCAGGTGAAAACCCAATACACCTGCACAGGTGGTGCTCAAAGGTCTCTTGAATAAAAGGATGCAGGGCCAGGGACAACATGCTCTTGTTTCCATGGCAGCAGCATCATTTACACAGGACAGAATTTCTGAGGGCAAATAGAAAGCTTTTTTTTTTTTTTTCTAAGGCTGCAGGGAAAGCATATGGAATTTTAACCTCTTTTCCCCTTTAAGTAAACTAAAAAGATGTGCCATAGAAAAGAAAAAAAAAAATTTGGATATCAAAGTTACTTTTTCAATGTGTCTACATTGGATGACCAGGAATGTGATTTTAGCCTTCAGCACTGGAACTCAAACCTATTTTAAATAAGTAAATTTGTAAAATCATGCAGGTTAGGGTCTCGCTTTTCTTTTTGCTCTCATTCCCAGCCCTCCTTGATTGCAATGAAATCCAGGAGCCCAGCATAAAACAGGCTTCTGAGATCACTAACTCCCTCTGGTAGAGAACTGAAGAATCTCAAACCTGACTGCATGTTTTGAATTCACTCAGGGGCCTTTAAAAAATACTAACGCCTGGTCCCCAGGCTCAGATCATCTGATTAAATGATTCCAGGGTAGTACCCAAATATGAGGGAGCTCTGGTAGCATAGTGGCTAAGACACTTGCCTGCTAACCAGACGGCTGGTGGTTCAACCCCCCCAGCCACTCCTCGGAAGGAAGGTTGGGCAATCCTACTTCTGTGGTGATACTGCATCGGAAACCCAAGGAGGGGTCTCTATGAGTCGGGGCCGACTCAACAGAACATAACAACAATAACAGCAACAACCCAAATATGGGCTTTTTTGTGAGGTTAGAAAGGAACTATTATTGAAAAGCACTTATGAAAAAGTATAACATCCATACAGTGATGTGCACAAATCTTAACTACTCAGATTGATGAAGTTTTATGACTGTGTATCCCTGAAAAGTTAATGTGATTGTTGCCAATGAAAAGGTTGGTGGTTTGAATTCAGCCAGAAGTGCCCTAGAAAAAGGCCTGACAATCTACTTCTTAAAAGTCAGCCATTGAAAACTCTATGGAGTTCAATTCTGCTCTGACACATATGGGTCACCTTGAGTCAGAATTGACTCTATGACAACAACCCCTGAAACACTCTATCCAGATCAAGATACAGATCATCACCCCAGGAGTCTCAGCACAGATTTTTTTTAAAATTATTTTTTATTTTGAAAAAAAAAAAAATAAACACTGTAAGTTGCAAGAGTATAACAATGCTTTATGTAATGTGAATTATATTTCAATTTTTTAAAAGACAATAGCAATAAACTCAATAAGGATACTTAAAAAAAAATCTTCCTTGTTCAGTTGGGATTAACTGAAATAATTTGCTGTGTTTTGCCACACTGCTGGTCATGGAAATCCTGCAATAAAGCACGGGCTCAAGATTTTAATGTTCTAGGTTACTGATTTTCGAAAGTTTTACCAACATAAAAATTAATGTCAGCCTTCTTAGATGCAGTTCATCTTATTGTACAGTCATTGCTTTTGTAACTTTTCATGAATTGTTTATGATTCACAATCTTCCCTTTTTCTAATTCTATATGGAGTAGGTAGTCCTTTTTGCAATGAACAAGACATATTCTATGTGTACTGGAATAAAATAAAGGTGAGCATTGTGCTCATTCTTTGTGGATCAGCTTGATTGCTGGTGGCAAGAGACAGGTGGAGGTGTCCATAGTTAGAAGGCAGAGATGTGTGAAAAGCAAGAATCTGAGGAACTAGATCTCTAGCAAGGACAACAAATACAATCATGCCCAGGCTTGGTGGAAAGGACAGATTACAGGGCCCAAACTGAGTTATGAACTTGGAAGGACAGCAGGAGAAATTCTGTGAGATGTGATGGGAATGGAGGACCAGGAACAAAAAGGAACCCAGGGAGCCCTGGTGCTCCAGAAAGCAGGTTCGTCTGCAGCTAAGGAGCTGTGCTCAGAGGCTGAGAAAGAGGACGAGGCTGGCCTGGACAGGTGCTAAGAAGTACAGTTGCCATGCAAAGTTTCAGTGTTGTGCCCTGGACAGATGACTGACTGAATGTGTGAGTGAGACTAAAATTGCATACACTTGGTGGGGGCATCGTATTTTAATTTGTACAAAGGCTGTATATGGACTTGCCGTGGTTCTAGGAGCAAGGCCAGTGAAAGCTAGACTTTACCTATACTCAGCATCTGACTTTTTGTCTCCTTATATGGAGTTCCAAGGAGCCCTGGTGCCTCAATGGTTGAGCGCTCATCTGTTAAGTGAAAGGTTGATGATTTGAACCCACAAACAGCTTCAGGGTAAAAAGACCTGCTGATCTGCTCCCGTAAAGATTTCAGGTGGCGAAACTCTATGGGGCAGTTCTCCTCTGTCCTATAGGGTCTCTATGAATTGCAATAGACCCTAGTGCACATAACAACTTACTTACATAGTTTCTATGGAGCAATTCCTTACATTGCAATGAAACAAGCAGGTGCATGGGGTGCTCAAGTCCCAGAAGAAGGAGGAGATTCTCCTTTCATCCCTCCCAGGGTGGCAGAAGACTAGCCTAATGGTGGATATAGGGAACTGCCTGTTTGAGGCCATTTCTGGTCCAGAATGCCCAGAATCTAAAAACGAGAAACCTATCTCTTGAGCTTGGCGTACCAAACTGAACTTAAATGTTTGGCAAATGAAAGTTCTCCTCAGGCCTAGTAACCAATTCCTATGTCTTGTTTTTCTATTTGTTTTTTTTTTGTTTGGGTTAAATAAGATTTTGATTTTCAAGTAACTTTTTAGATTTAGCAAAGGAAAGAGTATGAATTTGGTAACTCCATAGGTGGTGGTGGTTGTTGTTATGTGCCGTCGAGTCGGAACTCCATAGGGTAAAACAAATTACAATGCATTGGAATTCTAAAGTCTACTTCTTTGATTTTGGTGATGAGTCATATTTGCTAAGACTGTTCCCTAACAGAACTATACTTTAAAATAGAATAATTGCTCTGTCCTAAAACAGAAGCAGAAAAATGGAAAATGAGCAGAGTGAGTTTCTGAAATCTAATTTCACATGGGGTTTTAGTTTACAGTGTTTTGTATTTTGCAGATCTCAGCCTGTTTATATGTATACACACACACACACACACACACACATGAAAACACACACAAGCATACCAAAATAACCAGAATGTCTCCCTTTGCTTTCTTTATATTTGTAATTGCATTTTAGAATTTGGTTAGTGTCTCCTTGCATTACACTGTTTGTGAGTGAAGCATCTGGTAGCTTTGGCTTCAGAGCAGAATAGTGTTTGGAAACTTGAAAACTTCAAGGATCCTGAAGTGGTAGAACAGTAAGTACTTAAAAGAAATTGAGGGGATGACCTGGTAAGTGTGGACTGGCAGAGTCACCTCTTAAGTTCTGCAAGTAGTTTGTCAACAAGGAGACAGACTTCTTCCCACTCCCACTGCAAGTTCTGAGTTGCCACAAGGGATGGGCTGAGTTGGGGCTGAGCTCTGTTCTGGACCGAGAGGAGATAAATTCAGTCCCAAAAGCAAATATAAATCTTGTTTGTTAGATCTGATTATGATGTATGTGTCCTCTTACCTTTACTTAGGTTGGGACCCCATAGGATAAGAGTGAAAGTGATGGCTTTAAAACAGCCAAATTCAATAATAGTACTGCGAAAAGGATCGTCGGCACATCTTACCTTATATAGAACTCTGCAGGGGGAAACCCACCATGGAGAGTACGAAATGAGAAATATGATGATCACGGTGTTATTCTCAAACTAGCAGTTACAAAGAGAGAAGTGACGTAAGACAAGGTGACTGCCCTCTGGTGCTGGGCCAGCCTCTTACCGTAGTGTGGGATGATGGCCCAGGCCATGGCTGAGGCATAGATGCCACCGATCATCCAGAACATGCACAGCCAGCTCAGGTGCTCGCCCCGCTTCTCCCGGGCCAGCACTTCAGCAAAGTAGGAGAACACGGTGGGGATGGCTCCTCCGATCCTGCCAAGAAATACAGAGAACACATGAAAGGGGGTCTGTGCAGCCACGGTGAGATGCAAAGGGCAGAGCCCAGACAAGTTCTAACTCTGCTAATTGCAGAGACCTTCCCTGTCTCAGCATAATAAGGAATATATTTTCCCCTCATCTCATAACTTTAATACCATAATCATCACGTTTAAAATAGGTTTATTATTCCTCCCAAAACTTTAATTTTCAATTAAGATATGTCCTATTTGTGTGGTTTATAGAAACTTGGTGGCACAAACAGTTTGTGCTTAATTGCTAACCTAAAGGCTCATGGTTCAAACCCACCCAGAAATGCCACAGAAGGAAGTCCTGGTAGTCTGCTTCTGTTAAGATTACAGTCAAGAAAACTCTATGGAGCAGTTCTATTCTGTAATACCTGGGACCACGTGGGTTGGAATTGACTTTACACAACTAACAAACAACAACAGCAAGTCTGATATTCAGATGGGCTTTATGCTTAGTGTTGAATGTTCTATGTGATATTTATAAAAAATTAACTCGGTATCATCTGGTGAACACTGATATAACTTTTTTTCATTTACTGTAATTTGGGTGAAAGTTTACAGAGCAAATTCATTTTCCCTTCAATAAGCCATATACCTTTTGTTTCATGACACTGATTGCACTGATAGTGTAACAGCTCCCATACTGCTTGCTGTGGTTACCCTTTCTCTGTGTTCTTTCCTATGCATTCCTGCCCTCTGAGCTATCTCCCTGTGCAAACGCTGCCCTTCTGATCTCCCATGGTTGATTGCTTTAAGGAGTATACCTAACTGGTATAAAGGTTCACCTTATATGCCTGTCTATTGTTTGGCTGGAAGCCACAGGAGTGAGTTCAATTCTAGGCCCAAAGGGTGACTAGGGGCCATAGTCTCAGGGGTTTCACTAGTCTCTTTCAGACCAGTAAGCCTGGTCTTTTTTATGATTTTGAGTTTTGGTCCACATTTTTTCCCATTCTATCCAGGATCTCCCACACTGATCCCTTTCTGAGTGGCTGACAAATGGTAACCAGGCATCATCTATTTCTTCTGATCTCAATGTCATGTAGGCTGAGGTTCACATGCTCCGCTAGTCCCTTGGACTAACTGTTTTCATGTGTCTTTGATTTTCTTCATTATCCTTTTCTCTGGATCAGAAGAGACCAATTGTTGCATCTAGATGACTGCTTGCAAGCTTTAAAGACCCCAGTCACCCTCACCAAAGTAGGTTTTAGAACAATGTTTTTGTGTACTATGTTATGCCAATTGAGCTCGAGGTCCTCCACGACCATAGTCCTGAGCCCACAGCCCCAACAACTCATTCTTTCAGGGCTGTGACCAAGCAGTTGTCATAACTTTGCTCCCTATTATATATATGGACATTCTTATAGCACATACAAAAATGTATGTAGGAATATGGTCTGCCAAACTAACATATGGTCATAGGTATATTCCCTTTTTCTGAGACATACCTGATCATTCAGCCAGTCTACCTATGTATCCACCATATACACACAGATGTTATTACAGATAATGCAGTATTTGTATGTAAAAGTGTTTATCTTTGTTGTCTGACCTCTCATGCACCTCTCTGTGTCTTCCTTTTCCTTAGCATTATTGTGTTGGACCTTGGGTTTCCAAGGCAGTATCACTACGGAAGTAGATTGCCCAATCTTCCTTCTGAGCAGTGGCTGGTGGGTTTGAACTGCCAGCCTTCTGGTTAGTGGCTAAATGCCTTAGGCACTATGTCACCAGAGCACCTGTTTTTTGTTTGTTTGTTTGTTTTGTTTTTTGAGTTTATTGTGTTGGTCACTCATTTTTGGTATATTGCTGTTCCCTTCACCCAAATCAATACTGTCTCTTACTATCTAGCAATTTTCCCTCCCATCCTTTCCCATCCCTGGTAACCAACAAAAAACTTCTTTCCATATATAAACCTTTCCTTGACTTTTTGCAGTCATAGACTAATACAATATCTGTCCTTCTGTGATTGACTTATTCCACTCAGTATAATGTCCTCCAAGTTCATGTTATGTGGTGTTTTGTGGATTCTACATTATTCTTTAGTGTTACATAATATTCCATTGTGTTTTGTACCATAGTTTGGCTATCCATTCCTCCACTGATGGCCACTTATGTTGTTTCCATCTCTTTGCTATTGTGAATAGTGCTGTAATGAACATGGGTGTGCAAATATCTTTTCATATCCTGGCTCTCACTTCTTTAAGATATATACCTCGTAATGGGATTGCTCGATCAAATGGTATTTTTATTTCCTGCTTTTTAAGGAGTCACCACACCATTTTCCAAAGTGATTGTATCATTTTACAGTCCCACCAGCAGTGTATGAGAATCCCAATCCCAATCCCAATTCCAATGTCTCCACATTCTCATCAGCATTTGTTATTTTCTGTCTTGTTGAACTTTGCTATTAGCTCTGAGGTGACATGGTATTTCATTGTTGTTTTCATTTGCACGTCTCTTGCCTGCTAACCAGACGGCTGGCAGTTCAAACCCACCAGTCACTCCT